TAATAATAATAATAACAATCGTAATAGTAATAATAACAGTAATAATGATTTTAGAATGTGAAGATTCTAAAGGCGGTCTTTGTTAGTGACCTAATTTGTAACAGCCCAGTGGCGCAAACTCAAGCAAAAAAAACACCAGGGGAATAATAATTCTGTTTTTCATATCTCTCCTCGAAGTTAGACAAATCAAAATAGGCATACCAAAGAACAACTTACTCAGAAAACCTATTTAAAAAATGGGAGACTGAAAACACCAGCAGATAACAATGCGGGGTATTTTAGTGCATCCGAGGAGAGAAATGAAAGGAGGAAAAATGATCGATTACGCGTTTCACATCCGGCATGTCTTGAAGATTTGTCCATCTCTTGGGTTTAAACTACGACAATAAGAAGCGCTATAATCAGCAGAAAGGTGTGTTAACCCTTTCCGAACACCCTGGGGTCATTTTGTACCCCCGGGGTTGTATTCTTCAAATTTTAGAATACTTATAGTACGAATATCTCTTTGAAACTTTCAGTATTTCCCAAAAAATCGTTTTGACAGACTGCTATGTAAAGCGTACGGATAGGATTAACGAATACATTTCCTCTTTGAAAGTGGTGGCACAGAGTTCCCCACGTCGTATGCATACGATAGTAAAACACGACGTACGGATCGGGTTAAGAACAGGGGCAATACCTTTTCGTTTAACTAAATATCACTTCAAGTTGTGTTGGACAATTAATAACTTTGTCTTACCCGGTCTGGGACTTGAACTCGAGGCCTTCACCACCAAATCCTTTAAAACGACGGGTTGCTTTTGGTCGATATGTGTATGCCTGTTTTGCGCCTCCGCGGTATCTGCCTCTCTCGTGTACGAAACTGTCCACAATATGGTCTGCACAAATCACGTTCAAAACACCAAACGCGACCAGAAAGTCAAAATTATTAAAATTTCTATTTTTTCGATGAATCTCCAGTGACGCTTTAAAACATTGTGTCTGTTTCTAGGCTGCTGTCCAAATACACAAACACCCCCACTTGTGACTAGTAAGAAAAAAGAACGATAAATCAAAAATAATTATGTGAGTAGACAGTGATATTCGCGGAAACTTTAAAAAAAATAAAATGGTCACTCACTTTGTTTTGTCACACTGTTAAAAAAACTAACTAACTAACAAGATAAAAGCAACAAAAAAGAAAAAAAGAAATAAGAAAAGATGAGATGAGAAAAAGACAGAAAAGTAAGAAAAAAAACAAACAACAACAACAAAAAAGAGAAATGTGCACAGTCAGTTGTTAGAGAGAAACAATTCCGAACTGGTCTCCAAAATAAACTTGGCCGAATCTCGTCTGTCCCCAGGCGACCTCTGATATAATTGGACTTTCCTCAGAATCTGACCGGGGAGCGGGCAGACACTTCTTCCAGAGACTGAGTACAGAAGACGGACACAGGGTTAAGAGGAGGGAGGGAGGGAGGGAGGGAATGAGTGAGGGAGGGAGGAGTGGGGTGAGAGTGTATTCTATTACCTCAAACGACTTGACGTCGCGTTGGAGACGAAAATGAGTGAGGAGGAAGGAAAAAAAAATGAACAAACCATTCGTAACTGATATATCAAAACAAAACTGTGAAAAATAAGAGGGTTGGGATCAGGGAGAGAGGTGGGATGGGAGTGAGTGGATTCTTTCTTTTATCTCAAAGACAACGCCGCTTTAGAGACGAAGGAAGGAGTATGAAAGCGGAATAAAAGAAGTACTGAGCAACTGAACTGAGATATTATCAAAAAAAGAAAAAGAAACCTGAATAATGAGACAGATGGTCGTGAGGGAAAGCTTAACAAGGAAGATGTGTGTGTGTGTGTGTGTGTGTGTGTGTGTGTGTGTGTGTGTGTGTGTGAGAGAGAGAGAGAGGAGAGAGAGAAAGAGAGAGAGAGAGAGAGAGAGAGAGAGAGAGAGCGAGACAGACAGAAATGTCGACAGAGAGAGGGTGAGAGACTGACAGGAAGACAGAAAGACAGAGAGAGACAGAGAGAGAGAAAGAGACATAAACAGAGAGAGCGAGAGAGACACAGAGAGAGAGAGAGAGAGACAGACAGACAGACAGACAGACAGACAGACAGACAGACAGACAGACAGACAGACAGACAGACAGACATACTGAAACATAGACACAGGGGGGAGAGAGGAAGAAATAGAAAACACGGCTGTGTCTGCCTGCCGAGGAGAGAGTAGAGCCAGCTAAGCTCTACACCACGGGTAATGGTGCCTCCCGCAATCAACAAAACAATGGTTTTCCAATTAGTGGCTATCTCCCTGCTCACCAATTAGCCACGTCGGACAGGCACAGTATTCTGTGGCGGGAGCGAGGTCAGGTTTCAGACTTTATAGCGTGCCCAGGAGAAAGTACAGATGGAGCTGGAACCCGCCTCGCCTGACATAACTACGTCATAGGCCTCGCAGAGATCGGGGAGAAAAATTAGCGCGCGTGGAGAGAAAACGATAATAAGACAGAGTGTTTGGTACGTATCAGGTACGTGCGCTGATAGAAACTATGGTGGCTGTGTGTTGTGCCTTTTCTCGCTTCATCACCCTCCTTCCTTCCCTCGCAACGCCACATCAACACCCCCTTCACCCTTCACCCTTCACCCTGCCCCTCTGACCCTCTTTTTTAACTCGTACCCATCCCACTCATTCTTCCTTAGCGCCTGTAAATATCATGTGGACACACATTGTTATCTCGGACACCTGTTCATCGTTCACTCTCCACTCCTCGACATACTCAAATATTATCCAGCATCTCCTCTACCTTCTTGTCCTTTTTCTAATCCTTCTCATCCTTCTCCTCCACCGCCATGTCATTCATTTCATCTTCTTCCTCCGCCTCTTCCTCCATTTCATCCCTCTTGCGATATTCAATCTTCCTTCACCTCCTCTTCCCCTCAGCCTCTACCACCTCCTTCTTTTCCTCCTCCTGGCAATACTCCACCCTCATCCTCATCTCCTCAGTCTCCGCCCGTCTTTTCCTCTTTCCCTCCTCCTCCTTCCTTCCCTCATTTATTCTTTCTTATTCCTCCCTCCTATCCTAACACTATTGTTAAAGGATCGTGTTACTTTGTTAGTGTTTGAGCGCGTGATATCCCCCAAGATATCGTATAGTTTTGATAGAGCAGATAGAACATTAGAATGTTTGTTTCTGAACTCATGGACATAGTTTAAAAAGCCCAAAATGTCAGATAGAACTTTGTAACTCTCGAGTAGCGTAATGTTAGACCCATAAAGATTGTGCACTCTACTCAGAAGACCTAAAATCAATTCCCGTGTGGGGTAGTTTATGGGTTGTTGGTTTTTTTTTCAATTTATAAAATCGGGTACCTCCACATGACTGCCAGTGTTATTTTTTAGAAAGAGCTTACGGCACTTGCAGCACAATTAGGTCATATGTGAAAATGCAGTTTTAGGTTTGGAGCAGTCGACTTCCTACATAGTTTAAAGTGTGTCAAAAATGGTGTCAAACGTTTACGAACACCATGTGCGCCCACAAGGCGGTGCCACTGACTGAAGT